TATCTATCTATCTATCTATCTATCTATCTATCTATCTATCTATCTATCTATCTCTATATCCATCCGTCCATTCACCTACATACCTACCATCTGTCTGTCTGTCTGTCTACCTATCTCTATATCCATCCATCCCAAAAATCAATCAATCAATCAACCAACCAATCTAATCTACCTACCTATCTTGTCTGTTTATCTGTCTACTATGCATCCACCTATCACCCTTCCCTCAATATCTATCCATCCAAATCTATCTACCTACCTACCCTCCCATCCAGCCATCCACCTACCTATCTACTTACTTGCCTACTTACCAGGCATCTTTTAAGACGCGTGAATTTCAATCCCCATCATACCCTGGCTAGCTCTGGGAAATGACACCCACAAATCTTAAAAGTGGTCAAGGTTGGACACCCCTGATCATGTCAGGTATGCCTGTCATTGAATTTACTGGCCACCCCTCTTACCGCAGGGCAACTGCGGGCGCCGTGTGTGTGTGTGTGTGTGTGTGTGTGTGTGTGTGTGTGTGTGTGTATGTATGTATGTATTGTATATTCTATATATATAAAATATAAATTCACACACACACACATTTACGGCGGGACAAAAAGCTCATCAGAATCGTAACCCCCCCCCCCCCGCCAGGAAGCCCGCCCTCTCCCTCCCCTTCTCCGTGAGCCGGGCATCCCAGCTCCCATCCTCCCCTGCCGGGCCCCGGGTGCGAAAGCTGCGCGGCCGGGGCCCCCACCTGGCAGGGCGTAGGCGGCTGCGGCGGCCGCCTGGCAGCCCTCTCGCTTGGCGGGCGGGAAGGGGTCGAGCAGGGCCGCTCGGAGGATGCCCACCGCCTCGGGCAGGAAGGGCGCCAGGGCGCGGCGGTCGCAGCGGCGGAGGAGCTCGGTGAGCAGCTGGAGGAGCCCGAGGCGGAGCTCCTCGCAGGCCTCGCCGGGGCCCTGGGGCAGCCCGAGCCGCTGAGCCAGCGCCGGCATCAGCACGGGCAGCGCCTCCGACGGGTGGGCGCCCTGGCCCAGCCCCAGGCGGAGCAGCTCCAGCGCCAGCTCGCGGCACCGCTCGGCAGGGTCTCCCGCGAGGCAGCGGGTCAGCGGCCGCAGCAGCGCCGGCCCGAAGACCTCGCGCACCGCCGGCGGAGGCCCTTCCGTCATCAGGGCCCTCAGCGCGCCCAGCGCCCTCAGACGCGCCGCCCGAGACTCCTCCTGCAGCCCGGGCAGCAGCCGCGACACCGCCTGGCCGAGCTCGGTCGCCGAAGCGCCGCGGCCCTCTTGGTCCGGCTCGGCCATGCGGAGGGGAAAGCACGCGTTGCTAGGCCGCCGGGCCGTTGCTAAGGGCCCGCGCGGCGGGTTTTTGCGACAGGCGACGCGCGCTCGACGGCTCCCGCGCTTGACGGCTCCCCGCGCCGGAAGGCCGGGAGAACTTTTGCCTCGGGCTTGGGTGGGAGGGGAGAGGGACTTCAACTCCCAGCATTCTCTAGGACAGAGGTCTCCAAACTTGGCAACTGCATAGCTGGCTGAGGAATTCTGGGAGTTGAAGTCCACAAGTGTTAAATTTGCCAAGTTTATAGACATCTGCTCTAGGAGAATAAACATATCTGTATTAGGCCGTCCTGGATTTACAACAGTTTGTTTAGTGACCACTCAATGTTACAGTGGCTCTGAAAAAAGTGACTTAGAACCACTTTTCACACTTAAAACCATTGGACATGGGATCAAAATTCAGGCCCTTGGCAATGACTCATATTTACGATGGTTGCAATGTCCCAGAGACATGTGAGCCCCTTTTTACGACCTTCTGACAAGCAATGTCAATGGGACCCTTAACAACCATGTTACTAACTTTAACAAGGGCAGTAATTCGCTTAACAACTGTGGCAAAAAAGGTCGTAAAATGGGGC